TTTCCCTAAATCCCAAGTCTGTATTGCAGGGGTAGCTGACGGGTACTGTGGCTGCTTGAAAAGTGACCCACTTCACAGCATGCCATGTAATCCGAAATATGTTGGCTTAAGTTAATAGGTAGAGCTATAAACAGATGAGTCTGAGGAAAATCTATATTGCTAAACAGCTGTTCTCACTGTAGTGAATTACACTTGAGAAGCAGTCTGGAGTATAAAGTAATTCTGCATATAAAGTAATTTTGCACTTCAGAAACTTTAAAACCATGTTTTCTTCCCTTTCTTGTCTTTGCTTTAGTCTTTTGAATGATATGTAAGTTGTACAAGATCTTCTTTTTAGAAAAATTCTGGAAAATAAGCCAAGCAAGAAAGATTATCTAGATAAATAATATCTCGATGAAATACAGTGACTGTGTAACTTTTCACTCGGGGAAAAATGGCACATTTGTGGCTGCTTTTCTGAAAATTTAATGCAGGTCAGGGAGCACTAACGTAGAAACTTCAAGGATATGTTAGATAAACATGTAGCTGGATGTTAATGAAGTGAAACAAATGTGCCTCTCTAGTGCCTTTGTGTTTTAAGGATAACTTAGAATTTGTACGTGGGTTTGTGAAATTGAAAATCGACTAGTTGAGTTTTCTTTATTCCCCAAGAGGAGTGTCTAGACACTTTTTAACTGTAGTAGGAAACTAGTATCTGCAGTCTTTACATTTTCCAGCACTAGCATATGGCCAGTAACCTTTTGAAAGCAATTAATAGATTCAAAATGGTTCCTGTTCAGCTATCACTGTTTCTAGAAGTGTGTGCTCCATCCTGTGGGACTGTGAAGTACTACAGGAGCCGAGTCGATACAAACCACACTGTTGTCTTGTGGACTTTAAGTAAATCCTTAGCTGTTTCAGTACATGTATAACCAAGGTATTTGTCAGCATTTTCAGTCTGAAACAATAGCTTTGAGGTGAAAAATTCCGTGCATTTCAGTAGGTAGTGAAGACAGGGCGTGTAAATATGTTTGCCCTCAATGAGAGAAGGATATTTAATCTGCATTTGAGATGCAGTAAGAGCATGTAATTGGGAGGTTATTGCAAAGGGATTAATGTGTGAAAATCCATATTTCAGATGATACTTCAGTAACGCATGTGTTTATCTTCTGGAGACAAAAAGCTGCACTCTAGTTAGAAAGACTTTCAAATTATTTTGTGTATTGTGTAGATTTTCATTCTGTGGCTTTTATGCTTTATGCCACTCTATATTTTCTCACGTTGAAACATTTTCCGGAAGTACTAGATTAGACTGTGTAAAGTCTTCAGAATTAAGATGGCATTGACTTTAAATGTTCAGTAGTTCAGTATGATTGGGATTTGTGTGTTTTGTTTTGCTTTTTTTTGCTTGAAACTGTTGATATCTTGAAGTACAGATACTAATTGTGTTGGCCTCATCTGTAGGATGCTAGAGAACTGAAGTTTATTTTCTTAACAGTATGGGTAACTGTCTGTCTTGATTGCAGCTCTGGCAAGTTTGGGATATGAGAAGACCTGTGTTTTGTTCAACTGTGGAGCATTGGCAAGCCAGATTGCAGCAGAACAGAATCTAGATAATGATGAAGGACTGAAAGCTGCAGCTAAGCACTATCAGGTACAGAGGCTCCCTGCTTATGCTTAGGAATTCAGAAATATTAATCTTAGAACATCAAATAAGTATGTCTCAATTTTAAAGCTATGTATATACGTATTTTGCCTGTCTTAATTGCAAAGGTGGATCAGTGAAGTACCCGGACATGGCTCACATTTATTTACCAGCTTTGAAGGTTTTCATTCCATACAGTTCCCAATGCTCTTTCCCCCAAGTATGTTGGTAACAACCTTCAGCTTAAGATTTAATAATTTTAGCTAGTAAAAATTTTAGTTTTAACAAGTCATATGGTAATAATATCTTTCTTCTTTGTGGAACGCATTAAAATTTCCATGTTCTTATACCGTTGGGTGTAGCCAATATACCTTTACTTATAGTCTATCTTGATAAATGTGTTGGGGTAAGTGACTTCAAGAACAAGTCATGAGGAATTGCTTTTAGTGGCTAAATAATAAATGGGAGACCATACACCAGAAAAATGTCTTTTTTTTTTTTTTAATTGTTGTATGTATTATATTTGTAAGAGAAAAAATCTGGAGACATGAATGATAATATATTATTTTGTTTTACTTAGTTTGCGAGTGGTGCTTTCCAACACATTAAAGACACTGTTTTGTCAGCCTTGAATCGAGAACCTACAGTGGACATCTCTCCAGACACAGTTGGAACTCTAAGTCTTATTATGTTGGCTCAAGCCCAAGAAGTCTTTTTCTTGAAAGCTACAAGAGGTATATCTTAATTTTTGGCTTGTATATTTATGTCCTCATTACAACTTCCACAAAAGTTTACAAGTGTTTTAAGTTATTAAGAGCTTGCAAAGGGCCTTTCAGAAGTTTTTGGTTTTGCTTTCACTGATTGCCACCTGCACCCCCACCCCCCCCACGGAAGGTCATTAAACACAAACTTTAGATGCAACTTAAGAATTTGTCCAAGGTTCACCTGATGCTGCAGTTGTCCCATGTGCCTTTCCTTTCTTTTTATGTCCAAAATGATTAGTCTTCATCTTTATAGAGGATTTTGCTGGTTTATATTTTTTCCTCTTTCCCCTTGAGAACAAAAGATATTCTCTAAAAGAACTGACAGTACTAGAAATGGTGCATAGGAGTTTTACCACTACTCCCCTCTTCCTCTGTTCAGGGAATGATTTCATAAGAATTTGGAAAGCTATGACTGTGCTAGGAAACAAAGGAGATTTCCTAAGAGTTTAGGGGAAACAAGTTCTGTTTGATTGTTCCTGTTTTTAAGAGAGGAACTCTTTGACCTGGTCTAACTTTGAGAATGCCCCATTTATCTTGGGAAGTGAAATTCTGCAGGTGGAACAAAGAATTATGCCCCTAACTGTTAAAGGCTGATGGTGAACTACTGATTCAGAGGCTGCATGTTTTAATACAACTACTAAAGAACATACACTTAAAAGAATTTTCCTGTGGAACAGTACTATTTTCAGTACAAGATCTCTTACTCTTTGCTCTTCTGCTCTTCTCTCTGTATGTACAGCAAGTTGTGCATCTAGAAATTACAGATATCTAAAAGTAGAACTAAGGAGATAGAGGTCATGTGATTGCCCACCAACTCCTCTCTCTCCGCACGTTGTTTGGAATACAATGGAGGAAGACAAGGGTTATCTTAACCGGGATGTTTCTTCTCTTCACAGGGAAGATTCCTGAAAATTCTTGTAGCCTTACTGCCTTTAGGAGAGTCTCAAAGACAAACTGTTGTCCTTCAGCCAACTGATAAATTATGTTTGTGTTCTTTATCATGCTGGTAGCAGTATTTTAGTCTCTGGCTATTTGGACATTGCTTTGAAATACATTTGTGTAAGACATGGCTGAAACTTTTCTTCAGAGCACGAGCAGACATGTAACTCATTTTGCATGGGAAATAGATCCTTCTGTCATCTTCTTGGTTTCTTCTTATTCACAACATGGAAAAGATAAAGCAAGGCTAATCCAAAACCCTCATGTGCCCAGTGAACTAAAGATTCTTGTCACTACTCCCAGAACACAAGTCTGCCAGTGTTAGAAGGACAGTAAAGTCATCTGAATATGGAGGCTGTAGATTTTGGCAGTAAAGACATTTTATGAAGAATCATGTTTGATAACATGATTATCTTCAGAAACCTATTTTTCAAGTGGAAATGCTTAAGAGTTTGATCTGAAAACTCAAATTTAGCTTCTTGCTGCATTGGCTATTGACCTTACTTGCAATTTTCAGGTTTTTCTCTCATGTGAGACAGTCCATTTATCAGTTTATCAGCTGATAGTATTATTTCTGATAGAACTGAGTTTATTCATAAGTTGAAAGAAAGTGGAAGTGTTTGGCAAAAACCAAACTGGTCAGTCAAATCTAACTTCACTGCGTAACTACAGATCAATTCTTTAATTTCTGAGCCTTTCTTAATGCTTTAAGTCTGCATATGTTTGCTATTCCATCTGAAGGCTTGCACTGTAACCGCAATATTTTAAATATATGCGAGTGAAAACTAAAGCTTCTGATCATGAAAGATTTATTCTGAGCTGTCTGCATGGACAAATGAGTCTCCTGTAACATTTCCTTTGTTAATAGAAATGTAGTTAATATGGCAGTATTTTTTTCTTTCCTTCTCTATGAAGGAAGATGCAACTACCACTCACTAGGTGGGGCTAGAAAGACGATCTGTTTTGATCTTACTTGGTTTTATCAACTATTTAGTTCACTGGACAGAAATATTTTAGCAAAGAAGTAAGTTGCTAGATCTCATAAGCTCTTTTTCTCTCCGTTTGTCATCTAAATTCTGTTCCACAGTGAAAAGATCTTTCTAGCATACCTTAAATGCATTTCTCTTGAGGAAGGTAAATACATTACATCATAGGTCATGCCTGAAGTGTTGTAGGTAGATGTGTGAATATGCTGGAATGAGCAGCCCACTTGGGAATTCTTTTGATTTAATTTTGGCAATTAAGCATACTCTGCAGACTTCCTAATCTGCCTGTACCCCCCACTCATGCTTATCAATCTGGCAGTATATAAAAATCACCTGAGTCAGAGGATACTTGTTTGTAAGGGTAGCTATTTTAGAGTGGATGGCCGATGTTTGCATTGATTGCCTGCCGCCTTGGAAGGCTGAATTGCTAGTGCAGGCCAGAGGTGATTATAAAAGGAGGTAAAGATAGATGCAGCATGTTTCTATTTTAACAGTTTCAGCTTTAGGAACAGGGTGAGGATGTGAGGCCGGGAATACCACTGCTGCTAGGCACATGCAGCTCTGATATGGAGTAGTAGATACCACTTGGAGGAACTGTGGTTATTTATGTCTGGGGATGATGTTTCTGTACTTGCTGTAAGCTAACAGTGGCGTGGACTGCCGTGGAAAGGGCCAGTTCCTTCTCTTCTGTTGCACTTCTGCAAATTTTTGGGAGTCCTGACATGGAGTTGGGTTAGAGAACAGATCCTGCTGCAAATTAACTATTTGTTGCTAACTAGATTTCAGCTAAATTCTTTGACTATGGCTGCAGAAATGCTTGTGCTGCCACAAGGGGAGGGCTGGGAACAAGCTGTCAGAGTGGAACTTCGGTTTTTAGTGGCAGCTTACCATTGGTCTGAGGTAAAGCATCACCCTTGATCCTGTGTAAATGCCAGCAGCTGCCAAAAGGTTTCCTGGGCAACTGAATGAACCTTCAGTGTCGTGATTGAAGAAAATCTGGAAACTGCTGCTGGATGTCAAGAGAAGAATGGGATCCTACCTTTGAGCTATAATGTAAAGCTATACCTTTAGAATGCAGTTGTTGCTGTTTGAGGATGAAGTAATTTACCTGTTTGCTTGTAAAAACTGATGATAAATCATAATTGTTCTTTGTTTTTTCTCCCCTTGCCCCAGATAAAATGAAAGATGGTATCATAGCTAAACTAGCTAATCAAGCTGCAGATTACTATGGTGATGCTTACAAACAGTGTCAATATAAAGATACTTTGCCCAAGGTTAGTAATTCTCATGGGAATAATCTGGGATCTGCTGTTATTGTGAATAACTGTTATTGTTTATATTGTACTTGATGAAATACACTGGAAATGTATCCTGAAGAAAAGCTGACATACTGCTACATTTAAGGGAAATGAACCTGTAATTTGAAAAACGGTGATGAATCTGGGAGGCAAAAGATAGTGCATTGTTTTTAACTTAAGTAAAATCTTATTACATGAAGTGTGTTTACTTGCAACACATTTCATTTAAAGTGAACTTGAAATGTTTATGATAGCATTTAGGGTTGCCTTCTTAGTACTTAATGCCTTACTAAATCTGTTTTTCACACTAACACTTTCTAATGGGGTTTAATTGGCTTCTAGTCTCAATGTTTTCATGTGAAATTTGCTCTCCTGTTGACAGCATGAATACAGTGGTGCTGTTCACTTACCTGTTAATGAAAAACATGAGTGGAAGTCAGCGTGTCCTCTGTCCTTCTGCCTGCCTTCTCCTCTCTTCCACCCCAAAACAACTTGGTGCTTGTAAATTATCTCAGTTTAGTCTTGACTGTTCATTTGAGTGCTGTTGTTTTTGCAAGACGCAGAAGGATCTTTTTTTTTTCATGCTCTTTGAATATAAAACAAGTACTTTAAAAATGAGCTGGTTTTCAATGTGTCAACTATGTTTGAATCATAAAATAGTAGAAAACCTTTTATGCAGTGTTATATATGTAAAAGCTGGATAAAATTTACTTACCCTTGATTTGTCAGACTCTTGAAACTTATTTCTAGCTAGGTAGGAGATTGTCTACCATAGTGCTTTTTTTGTGAATGTCCCTGGGAAGCATCCCTTGTTAATTTGCAGTTATTTTTCATTCAGTAGTAGTTTCAAAACTCTAAAATAACTATTCCAGCTTGCAGTGGTCTTTCTTGTTACAAATAAAATGTGAAATATACTAGATTTACTAAAAATACAGGAGAAAACTTATTAAAAATATTTTTATCAGTGATAAATGGAAGTGTTTGATAACTTAATATGCTAGTCAAATAATTGCTGAAGTATTTGCTTAAGGCACTTTTATTCCCTCTGGGGGAAAAAAATTACGATTTTTTTTTTTTTTTTCCCCTCTGGTTTCTAATGCAGAATAGAATCTTGATAATGATAGGAATTGTGTAGGTAAGGGCTATGGTACTAAAGTGCATTATAGATGGGGCCGATTTCTCACTTAGGTATTATGTTTATGATTGATTTCTGAGAGGCAATGAGATATAATAAACCCATTGCCTTGTCTTTTGTTGTTGCGGACCTTTTTAAGCCATAGATCTGCACAGTAATCTGTCAACTGATTATTTGAAAGAACATAATAAGGTTTGCTGGTTCTGTGAGTTAACACCAGCTCTGAGAACAATTACATGTTTAGGAGTGCGAAGAGAGGTTGACTTGATGAGTCGGACTCCAGTTGTATGGCCTCCCAGACAGCTTTTTCTTCCCTGTTTTTGTTTTGTTTTGGTTTTTTCTTCAATCTCTGGGGGCAGCAAGTTTGCACAAATGTCAATAAGCGCGTCTTTATATACTGAGGTCTTTAAAACATCACTCTGGTTTTCCAGTGCTCCTTGATTTAAGAAATAAAACAGTAAGGCCAAATCCTTGATCAAAGACCATGCCTATACTGTGGGCTGCAGCATAATATTTTCTTCATGTCTTGGTTGGTACTCCTGCAAAGATAAGTGCATTTATATGGAAGTCTAAAAGTGGCTTTTAAATTGCTTTCCATGTCAATAGTTATCGGTCATCTTTATTTGTTCTTTGCTGTCATAATTTTAGAGTTGCTTTCTTGATAGCCCTGCTGCTGTTTTAAGTGTAATTGCTTTGTTAAATTAAAAAAAAAAAAAGAAAAAAGAGCAAAAGCCTGTCTTTCCCCCTCCCCCCCCTTTTCTTAAGAACTCTTTGTCTTGGCTTTGTCTTGGGGGCATTTGGGTGTGTTCTTGCAACTATCCTTTCTAATATATGCATGCACTTCTAATCTTTGAAGTAAATGTTGCGACTTCATGGCTTGAATATAAATTGTAGTTCATCTGAAATAATGGACACTAAGAATTTTGCAACAACAGATTAAGAAAAAAACAAGCCAAAACTGGATTCAATCCATGCAAAGTCACGTGGTCTCTGACATTTACCTCTAATGTTTTAACCTATCTAAACCATTAATTGGGTGATTCTAATTTCCTTTTCTTCTTCCTTTTTCTTCCTGCATCCCATGTTGTCTGTGGTGGTTAATGTGGTTGGACTTTCCCCTGGTCAGTATTTTTATTTCCAGGAGGTGTTTCCTGTTCTGGCTGCAAAGCACTGCATTATGCAGGCCAATGCAGAATATCATCAATCTATCCTGGCAAAACAGCAGAAGAAATTTGGTGAAGAAATTGGGAGATTACAGGTGGGTAAATTTTTTTCTTCTCTGGAAAAAAATATGGGATAACTTTAAATCCTGAAAAGTTAGCTCAGAGTTCTAAAATTCATATAACTAAGAATGAAACGTATTCAAAAATTGCAGAGCATGTTTATCAAATGAATCAAATTATTAGCAGCTGCAAAGATGAGAGGTATCTCTGTAGCTTTTATAAAGATGTATTTTAATGACTTTTGCGCAGTTTGATACTGCCTGACATGTTAAGCCTTTATCTTTATGTTTGTATAGGCTTCCTAGCTATACCAGCTATAGCTGGTATAACAGATTTGTTAATGAATTTTGCTATGTAATAATATTAAAAAATCCTCAAAACGTTAAAAATTCTGCCTGGTCTATACCTAACTCCTTTCTTGAAATCCTGATTTAAATCTGAATAAATCTTGAAAAACCTACAAATTGTCTTTAAAGATTTTTGCATCTGTATCTGGTTTCTAGTGGGACTCGGATATAGATGTTGTAATGAGTAAAGTCTTCTCAACTGCAGTAGGCATAAAAGGGCTAAAAATAACTACTTTCTTCAAGTCCCCTGGTCCTTGGTGGGGTGGGGTTGGGGAAATGCAGTGGTGCTTCGACTGACTTTGTGGGATCCATGTGCAATATTTATTTATTGATAGGCAGGAGAGTTGGGAGACTTTCATATAAGACTATTATGTTGACATTTTGAAGATTATCATTATGCTTTTATTGACTTGGTGCGGGATGGAGCTTGAAACTTTTTTGTATGCTTGCATGACAATTAAGTGCCTATATGAACTTCTAATATCAAGTTGTTATATTGTGACTACATTACTAGGTGATGGATGAAGGTGCACCTCTTGATTATTCTTGAGTTTCAAACCTGTATAGCAGATTTCTTTTTTTTAGGGCTCTACTGTAATAGAATTTTTTCGTGTGTTTGGTTTTTTTTTTTTTTTGGTTTTTTTTTTTTTTTAGTGCTCACCCTTGACAGGTCTGGCTATATCAAATTGACTGTTGTTGTTAAGTTGATAGTAGATTAGCTTGTGTCTGTGATTTTTCTTCATGTTGTGTTACAGGAAGTGTCCCTTCATGCTGAGTAGTTAAAGATTTTTTTTTTTTCTTTTTTTTAAATGAAGCCTGAAGGGAAATACTCCATTATTACTTACTTTAGGGAATCACAGAATCATAGAATCGTTTAGGTTGGAAAAGACCTTTAAGATCATCCAGTCCAACCGTTAACCTAACACTGCCATCCCACCACTAAACCATATCCCTAAGTACCTCATCTACCTGTCTTTTAAATATCTGCAGGGATGGGGACTCAACCACTTCCCTGGGCAGCCTGTTCCAATGCTTGACAACCCTTTCATTGACAAAAATTTTTCCGAATGTCCAACCTAAACCTGCCCTGGCAGTCCCCTCACCCTATTGCCCGTTACCAGGGAGAAGAGACCAACACCCACCTCGCTACAGCCTCCTTTCAGGTAGTTGCAGGAGGCGATAAGCCCTGCTTCATGAGTAGCATGTAGTCAGAAGTTAAAATCCTGTGTCGTCTTATTTAAAAGATTTAGTAAGATGAAACTTAAATCCTGTTCTCCATAGTTATTAAAGTACTGCTTCCATAATTAATCTAAATTAGAGGTTTAGTATCCTTTTTGATGCATTTTTGAAAAATGCAGTTGCTATAAAGTAATACTCTTTTTATTTCCCTTTTTAAAAGCTAGAACAAAGACGGATTATACTGGGGGGGAAGATTAATGTACATTCTTCCAAATTAAAGTATATATGCACACCACTGTTTCTTCTCCTCTCATTTTCTGTTTCTGGCAAATGCTAGTTAGACTGTAGTATTGTCTCAAACCAAAACTACTGTTTTGTGATTTATGGCACAATGGAAAGTGGCAAAAATCTCAGCAAATTTCAAATATGCTTCACTTATAATGTAGCTCAGGTTTCACTTGACAATCCCAGGAAGTTTGAGTTTTTGAATTGTGAGTTTATTTAAACCTTGACTGACACTGCTGCTTGGTATTTTGTTTTACACATTCACAACACAAATGTGATCAGGATAGAACAGATACAATCAAAATGATCTGCTTGAGGGGAGGAGGGCTCTGCAGAGAGACCTGGACAGGCTGGATCGATGGGCCGAGGCCAACTGCATGAGGTTCAACAAGGCCAAGTGCCGGGTCCTGCACTTTGGTCACAACAACCCCATGCAGCGCTACAGGCTTGGGGAAGAGTGGCTGGAAAGCTGCCTGGTGGAAAAGGACCTGGGGGTACTGGTTGACAGCCGGCTCAATATGAGCCAGCAGTGTGCCCAGGTGGCCAAGAAGGCCAATGGCATCCTGGCCTGTATCAGGAATAGTGTGACCAGCAGGACAAGGGAAGTCATCGTGCCCCTGTACTCGGTGCTGGTGAGGCCGCACCTCGAATACTGTGTTCAGTTTTGGGCCCCTCACTACAAGAAGGATGTTGCATTGCTGGAGCATGTCCAGAGGAGAGCAACCAAGCTGGTTGAGGGGTCTGGAGCACAAGTCATACGAGGAACGGCTGAGGGAACTGGGGTTGTTTAGTCTGGAGAAGAGGAGGCTGAGGGGAGACCTGATCGCCCTCTACAGCTACCTGAAAGGAGTCTGTAGTGAGGTGGGGGTCGGCCTCTTCTCCCTGGTAACAGATGATAGGACAAGGGGGGAATGGTTTGAAGCTGCGCCAGGGCAGGTTTAGGTTAGATATTAGGAAAAACTTCTTCACTGAAAGGGTTGTCAGGCTCTGGAATGGGCTGCCCAGGGAGGTGGTAGAGTCCCCATCCTTGGAGGTATTTAAAAGAAGGATAGATGAGGTGCTTAGGGATATGGTTTAGTGGTGGGATGGCAGGGTTAGGTTAACGGTTGGACTCGATGATCTTAAAGGTCTTTTCCAACCAAAGCGATTCTATGATTCTATGAAAAGACAATGTTTTGTCTTGCATCTCTTCTGCAGTAGGTTAGATGTAGGAAAACAGGATACCTCATGGTTGCATCTAGGCTGAGCAGACAGAAGTGAAGAGACAGCAGATCTTGTATTTTATTATAATTTGCAGTAGGATTCCAGCATAATTTCTGTAGCTTCTGAGCTCAGGGGTAGGTGGGTGTTAGTGGCAGATGTGAAAAGCAGGATGCTGGCCTCTTCCTTCATGAATGTGAGCAAGGGTTGAGAAACAATTTGCAGTACCTGCAAAAGCAAGGTGTGGGTTTCATGAACAACATGAAAATGACATGGTGGTGCTTTTATTTTTTTTGGGGTGAATGGGTGTTTGAAGTGTTACTGTCACTAATTCATGGTCACTTCTTTTGGATTTTGGGGAGTCATAGTGAGACTATAGTGAGGTAGTAACTTGGTTGCTTTTTTTTTGATGAGCTATTTTAATGAGTAAGATCTCCTTTTTCCTTTTTAATACATAATAGGAGAACATATTTCCTTAAGGAAATAATATTGATCATATATGTAGGTAGTAGTTACTTGGCTAACTGGGAAGCTCATCTGTTTTCCTAAGTATATAGGAACGGCAGAAAGAAAAGCTACTGTTTTAATTTTAACTGTATTTTTATTTCTTTTAGCATGCGGCAGACTTGGTGAAAACAGTGGCATCTCGTTATGATGAATATATAAATGTTAAAGATCTGGTTGACAAAATCAACCGTGCACTTACAGCTGCCAAAAAGGACAATGACTTTATTTACCATGACCGGGTTCCTGACCTGAAAGATTTGGAGTCCATTGGAAAAGCCAGTCTTGTGAAGTCTACTCCTGTTGTTGTTCCCCTCAGTCAGAAATTTACTGGTAAGTGAAGTGTTCGGAGTGCACAGGGTAGCTGTTACCTTGTGAAACACATGGCCACCAAAGTTAGTTTGTACCATGAAAAAGTAAATGTTTACTTTTGAATTGTATTAAGTGTACAGCAGTGTTTTTGAAAATTCCATTTATCTTTTCTACTTTGTTCTATATCCTGCCTAAGATAAAGAAGAATAGGTGTCTAGATGGAAAGGGCTTATCCTGATCTAGTTAAAGATGTCCCTGTTCGCTGCAGGGGAAGGGGGGGTTGGACTAGATGACCTCTAAAGGTCCCTTCCAACCCCAAAAATTCTATGGTTCTATGATATTCTACTGCTTGATGATAAAAAGGGAGGTACTTTTCAACCACAGGTTGAAAATCATTATCTGCAACGTGCCCTTCTCTTAAAGATTTTCTTAGCAACTGTATTTTCTATATTAAACCAACCTTTTTAATTTCAGAAGGAACACTGAGGGGAAGGTATCAAATTGTACAATCTTAACTGACCTAGTTGCTGGCCTTCCATAAAGCTGAAAAATTTCAGTTTGACTGTAGAGGGGAGTTCTGAAAAATGATCCTCTCTTCCCTTTCTCATTTTCTTCCTTTTAAAGAAGCAAAATTAGAAATTAATCCTTAAGGAAGACCTGGTTTGTAATCCTACAGTTGTTTTGAATATAATACATTTTCATTATTTCTAACTCTATTTCAGTCTTAAAAACTGAAATCTAAAGACCTGTAGAAATAGAATTTTTTTTATTTTAAGACATCTTGGGGAGTGGGGAAGAGTATCTTAAACTGTTTAGGTTAGTCTCTGTAGTACAACCTGTACAAAAGAGCTGTGAAGATGTTTGTGCCCTTTTATCTTCACTGTGCAACTTCAGTGATTTATACTACTTTAATTGCAGACCTGTTTGAGAAGATGGTTCCATTGCAAGTTCAGCAATCTGTGAGTGTTTATAACCAGAGAAAGGCAGATCTAGTAAACAGGTTAATAGCCCAGATGAGAGAAGCCACAAATCTGGCAAATGGGTAAGTATGGCTTGTTAAATTTCTCAAGTGGAGTTATGGAACAGCCTATAAACACTGGTCGCCTTGCAGCCTGCAGATACTCAGATTACAGCAGTGGGTTTTTATTACTATATGGTAGGCTGGCAAACTTAAGCCATAGCAGGAGTACTTAGAACTACTTTTCTGCGGATGTTAAGACTGAAAGCCTATTAAGAACGAATAGTATTTAATTTTCTTCATTCTTTCCTCATTTTTTAGGAGTCTGGCACTTGCTCAGAAAAAGTTTCAGTACCATTAATCTAGAAGGATTTTCACATTCCAGTGGTCAGCTTGATTGCACCAGTGGCTTAATCATGATATTTTTTTCCCCCAAAAATTTTGTTCTTTAAAATACTTAATGATGATACAAAATTATATCAAGCTGAAAGATAGGAATGTAACTCAAGGCAGTTGGTTCTTTATGTACCAGGTAGTTATTACTGAAAATGTTTGTCATATTTTGTAAGTGCTAGAAGATGAGGATTTGCTTAGCTTTTTATGAGCTTTGAAATGTTTGGTGGGTTGGGTTTTTGGTTTTGGTTTTTTTTTTTTGGGAGGTATACACTAGGAATAAGTTCACAGTTTTCAGTTTGAAATTTTTGTCCAGGAGTATTTTATACTCTGTTTCCATTATAATTGACTGTGTGATTGTTTGTTTGGATAGCAGTGACTATTAGGCTAAATTGTACAAACACGTTGCTATTTAACCTGCTGACTTTTTCAGTGTGTTGGCTTCCCTCAATCTTCCTGCTGCTATCGAAGATGTGTCTGGTGATACTGTTCCTCAGTCTATTTTGAACAAGTCGAAGTCTGTGATTGAACAGGGAGGAATTCAAACTGTTGATCAGCTGATCAAAGATCTGCCTGAACTGCTACAAAGAAACAAAGAAATTTTAGATGAAGTAAGCTCAGCAACTGCTAACACTAAAACATTCTTAAACACCACCGCTGAACTTTTTTTTTCTCTTTAAATGGCAGTAGAAAAAGTGTGTGATTATCCAAAATGCTTGTAACTTTAATAGTACTTTAAAAATAAGCTGTGTGTGTTTAGTCCATACAAAAACCGTGCTGTCACATGCGGATTTTGAGGTGGGGGGGGGAGGGGGGGAAACAACATTCCAAAGAAATTTGGATGATTTGTGCCTTTCATGCCTGTTTGGTTTTTTGCCAAATTAAATTTGTAAAGGATGTATAAGCATTCTTTATATTTTCTATACTACCTGTATATTTTGTAGCTATTTCATGTTCAGAACAGCTTATAATGCATGTAACATTTTACTCTTGTAGTCACTAAGACTATTAGATGAAGAAGAAACTACAGACAGTGACCTGCGAACAAAATTCAAAGAACGCTGGCAGAGAACACCATCTAATGAACTCTATAAGCCTTTAAGGGCAGGTAAAGTTAATGTTTTATGCTTTGAATTCTGAGGATGGTCTAAAAATGTCCATTCTCATTGTGTAAATTAAAGTAGTTTTTAATGCTCCGGTAATGTCTTTAGAGATACATGTTTCGGTTTAGGAGAGATTATGCCAAAATATCCTTACTGCAATCTGCACCATTATTTGGAGTTGAGAGATGATGTGATAGCAGAGAATTTGCTGCTGCTTTTGTACCCTTGGAGTGCACCTGCATGCTAAAGTTTCAGAAAGCGTATGTAATGAAAAATTGCTGCACTCCCAAGAATCTGGTTGCAGTTACCTCTTAAATACTTTAGTGTATTTCTTTTTATATATTAACCTTTTTTTTTTTTTATTTCCCATCAAGGTGTTACTTTCTCTTTGATTTGGTGTTCTGGTTTGTTTGGTTTTTTTCCCCAGCGGTTAGTCAAAGTACTTGGGACCATCACTATAGCATGGATTTTGTGCACTTAATGTGTATTGTTTTGAAGCTAACAAGGGACTGTTACCACTGCCTTAGTTTGGCAAAGTTACAGGGGTTTAAATCTGGGGAGTAGCTCAAGCCAGTGTTAATTCATATACTTTTAAATGCTTCTCTGGAGAATGAATATAGGTGCCTAGTTTATGCACTATTTAAAACATAACTTAGAACCTTAAGTATTATAAGTCTTAATAACATCATAATGTGCAGGCTCATAAAAATAAATGAAAATTTGCTGAAGAGTGTGAAAACTGCTCTGATGCAAGACTCGGATAAAACAAGTTTGGAAATTATATAACCACCGTTTTTTAACTTCCACCACCAGAGGGAGCCAATTACCATAATATTTTGAATAAAGCTGTGCAAGCAGATGGCCAAGTTAAAGAGCGCTATCAGTCTCACCGGGATATGATTGCACTTCTGTGTAAGCCAGAGTCAGAACTCAACGCGGCCATTCCTTCTGCCAACCCAGCAAAAACATTACAAGGAAGTGAGGTAAAGTATTGACATTTGTCTCTATTTTGAATAGAAGTGCTATTCGTCTAACAAAGTAAATTTACGTGAACTGGTGTGGAAGCCGATACTTAGCTGCTCTTGTTTCTGTCACAATTGATAGAGGAGGTAACTAACATTTGGAAAAGAAGTTGTCTTTTTGTTTAAATTCTGCTTGAGTATATTTTGTTACACTTAGTGTGAGCAAGTTCAATCGCCATGGACAGCAAGGCTGTTTGACTATTATAAAAGGAGCAATCCTTGATGAATATTTTTGTTACGTAGGGTGGTGGGGTGTAGTGCTCAGGTTCTTGGGGCAAAAATTCTGCTTGAGTATATTTTGTTACACTTAGTGTGAGCAAGTTCAATCGCCATGGACAGCAAGGCTGTTTGACTATTATAAAAGGAGCAATCCTTGATGAATATTTTTGTTACGTAGGGTGGTGGGTGTAGTGCTCAGGTTCTTGGGGCAATTAGGCAATGTAAAAGGCACGGCCCAGTATTTTAAAGTATTAGGCAATTACACCAACTTGCTTTCTAAGAAAGTCATGGCTCATCTGCAGCAATATGATTATTTTTCTCATAGGAGCGATCTGAAGTCAGTGTTTTTGACTGCCATTTTTAGAATGTCCTACCAGAAGGTATCTGACCAGTGTTTAGAAAAATAGATTTTAAAATTGTTGTAGTAATTCAGTATTATAAGTGGAAGCAAATCTTTAGAGGAGACTACAGCTTGGGAAATGCTTGAAGATTTCTATTTTGTTGCATTCTGACCTGGTTTGTCATGTTTAACACATTTATAAACAAATACTCATGCAGTAGCATTGCCAGCATCAGTGAGAGGAGTGCAGGATAGGAACAAGTAATAGAGTATACTTGCGCAATAATTCCTCTAAATGTGCTAACTTCTGACAATTTTTATTGCCTAGGTTGTTAACGTCTTAAGAACTTTGCTGGCCAATCTGGATGAAGTTAAGAAGGAGAGAGAACAACTAGAAAATGACCTGAAATCTGTAAATTTTGACATGACAAGCAAATTCCTGACTGCTCTTGCGCAGGATGGTGCTATAAATGAGGAGGCTATCTCTGTGACCGAGTTGGACAGAATTTATGGAAGTCACACACAGAAAGTGCAAGAGTCCCTAAAAAAGCAGGAAGAACTTCTCAAAAACATTCAGGTACAACACCTTGTATGTCTTCCTCTTAAACGAAAGAACGATGATTCCTCTACCTCTCCAGTACTTTAGAAATCTCACTTTGCTTTCTACTCTGTTTTGCTTGTTACTCTGTCATAGGCCAGTCGATATTCCTTTACTCCTCTGATCGACAAAAAACACGGGGGGGAGTGGGGGTGTGTGTTGTGTTCACTGGAAAGAAATGCGAACTTTTAGCAGACTGTCCCAGAGCTCCAGTGTAAATTCTCTTGGACCTTTTCTTGGCCCAATTCTGCAGGTGGCTTTACTCTTGAAAGAAGCTTAACTGGTGTATTAAGAAGGTTTTGGTTTTGTTTTGGTTTTTCCCCTTACCCCATCTTAATACTTCTTTCTGGGATAACAGGAGACCTGTCTTTACTGTCTACTAGAAGGCATTTTGAGTCTCTGAAGTACGTTTTGATTTATTCCTAATTGCTATTTACAATGTACTTGACTTCCAGCATGTGCAAAGCTCATCAAAGTAAAAATGAATGAGAATTTCCCGAAGTTGATTTGTAAATTCAGCCTTAATTTGTCAGTAATACTAGAGATAGGTACCTGAAACACCTGACAAAAGAGGAAGTCTTAGTGCTTGGACAAGTGACAGTCGTGGCTTGAGTAATGATGGGGCCTACTTGTGCGCACGATTAGTTGCAACTTCTGACTGCAACTTGCATTTGCAAGAATAAGGAGACTTTTCCAAAAGGGAAAAAATTGTTTCTAAATGGCCGTATGGCCCATGTTTATAAAGGATTTTATCTTTTAACATACATAAAATCTTGATGGATATTACATTGATGCTTGAATGTTGTGCAGTGCAAGTCTGACTGCTTCTGGCAGCTGAAGTAGCCTTTTTAAGTTTGCTTGTTTGTTTATTTTCCCCAAAGAAAGGAGATGTAGGTGATCCTTCTGACAGTTTTCCACTTCCCTGTCCTTTTAATAGCTTGCCAAGGTCAACCAAATTTGAGGTAGTGCTTCTTAAAAATACTAACTTTCAGTATGATTTCATGAATATCAATGGAAGGTAGTACAGAAGAGAGCCTAATTAGTAGTATAGCCTCTGAAGGAGAGTCTGCATTATGAACTTGAGAATTAGCTGAAGGCACCCTACAACAGAACAGATAATTAGCTGATACCTGCTGCCAGTGAGTTAATATATGTATAGTTTTGAAATAGCCATTGCACTTGGCAGATAGCAAGTATCAGGAAGTACCATATGTGGCTGGAAGGTGAGGAAAGGCAGGTATTGGGAAGAGGGTGTAGAAGCAATGTGCAAGAGGAAGAAAAAAGAAACAGAACCTTACATGGGCATAAGTTGCACTATTTCCACTGCTTATTTTTTTCCCTTCTTTTAAGAATGCACATCAGGATTTTTCAAAGATGAAACAATCAAACAATGAATCTAATTTACGAGAAGAAGTTTTGAAGAACTTGGCTGTAGCAAATGACAACTTTGTGGAACTTGTAGCCAATTTAAAAGAAGGCACAAAGGTATAGTAATGCTTAAGGGATTGGAAGAACTTTTCTTAAAATTTTTATTACACAGTGAGGTGTGAATCAAAAATCATAGTAAACTTTGCAAATATGCTACATGAGAGGTGCATTTCTGAGGATTTTACTACTGAAGTGAGGACAGAGTTGCTTGAATTTTGATTTAGACAGCTGTGAAATGCTTCTTTGTTCCTATCTGAAAAGTAAGCTTTTCTGAGCCTTGCTTTATATTAAAATAGGAAAAGGTGTTAATTACAGCAGAGTAACTGGTGCTGAAGTACCCAGATGAGCCACTTTATCTGAAGAATTCTTTCATCTGTTCTCCCATGGTATTTAATCACCTTATCAAATTTGGGTTTTATATACTGCTCCTGCATACAGGAGAAGAGATGAGGAGGGCTTTATTTAGCTTGCTTTTTTGATCTGGGCTTTTGGAAGGAGTTTTACTGCTTCTGTATTAAGTACTTTTGCAGGTTTATTGATAGCTCACTAGAGGAGAAAAGAAAATACAACTCTGAGATGTCTGTATAAATGAAATGCGTGGAACTTACTGAAGGCAATAAAATTAAAATATATATCTTTTAAAAATAAATAGTTAATTATCACAAGTGATCTAGTTTTGTTCTGGCTTTAATACATTTTCTAGTTGTTTTAAACTACTTTTATATTTACACAGACACACACATATATATAAAAAAATTGTATGATATTACAGGGCTGGACAACAGCTGAGTAATATTTATTTTTGAAAAGCAGAATAAAATGCTCTAGCAGACTTTACTGGAATGGGAGGTTCTGGGCACTGTAATAATAGAATGCCTATAACTGGATCAATATGTAGAAATATGCTAGCGTGGAGTCTGAAAATATTGATTGAGCATGTTGGGTTTTTTTTTTCTTCACTAGTTCACAAGACTGAAAGAGATGAACTGCTCAAGTAAGGCTTCAGTAGTTTGGTTAAGTGTTTATCAGAAATTAATCTTTGGGGATGTGTTTATTATGGTACTTGATGAAATGAGAAGGGGAGGATGGGTATATTAAGACTATCACTACTTCTTTGCCGTAATGCTAACCCCGCTCTAGCCTCCCCTGCTAAGATAGGTTTTACTGCTGCATGTGAACTGTTCACTGACATGAAACTCTGTTAACGTTAGGGACAATGATCACATTTGGGACACTTGTAGTATATGTCTACAAAATACGTTTCTTGGTGCACCCAAACCACAGTTTGAGCAAATAGAATGTGTGTTTTGCCCCTTCCCCCTGCCACCCCCAGCCCCCCAAATATTGACCGGGGGTTACGTCTTCACTTAGTGAAAATAAATTTGTTTAGATGGTTTCTCATTTAGAACTATAGATATTCTCCCCCTACCCCCAATGGTTGCCCATTGGAGGATCAGTTTTAATAGTGTTTTAAGCTTCACATTTAATGTGTTTGGTCACTTTGTGGTTACAACATACTTTACTCTGAAAAGTACCACTGTTCTATAAGCTATTGCTCTTTGCAGCGTAATTTTAAGAAGGAAATTTACTTCCATCCCAACATCTTCGAAGATGTTAAGTTTTGGTTTTGTTAGTTTAAGTATAATACAGTGTTGAATAGTTACCCCACTATTTGTAACAAACAGTTTGAGATACATACACTCATATGTAACACAGCATCCAGACAGTATTTCCAGGTTTTTCTCCATAATTCCTTTTTACTGCAGGGGTAACTGTGAGGACGGTTTTCTTACTGTTTTTGTTAGTCTTGTTTTTTTCTACAAAAGTTGCCAGTTTTATTCTCCTCCTTTGGAGTTCACTTTGGCATACTATATAATAGGAGCCTGTAGTTTGTTGCTAACTAGGCTATATACCTTTGCTAGTCTCCCCTCTGCTGTTTCAGAATGCCAGCTATCAAGTTTTAGCTGTTAGATATTGCTTGCCTATTAAGCAGGACTGTCTGAAATTTTAAGTGCTTCCTAAAGACTCTCTGAAGAATCTGCCCAATCTCAAATACTGAGTCTTTGCATTGGGAAATGCACTGCATTACTCTGAACATGTAACTTAGAACTCCTTTCTTGGAGTTTTCATTACAAGCTGACTGTAAAATTATGCAGTTTAATGGCAGCTTGTATACAACATGACACCAAAGCCTCCTTGTATCTTACCAAGAGTCATTCCAATGGTAGAGATAACAGAATAGAGAACTTGAAAGCTTGTGTACTGAGCTATTCGGGTTTCTGCCAGGGTTTTTTTTTTTTTTTATAGTTATGCTTACCCAGATATAAATGATATTGCAGACTATCTGGTGGACTTTTTCACAGAATCGCAGAATGGCAAGCATTGGAAAGGGCCTTGGGAGATCATCTAGTCCAACCCTCCTGCATGCAATATTACTTACTCTAGGGCAATCTACAATCAATACGACATTGCTTTTCTTCTGTATTTGAGCATTTCTTTACTTGTCAAAATTACTGAAATTTACTTTTATCCTTTTCCATAGCCTTGCAGCTTCCTTAGGTTCTTGGGAAAGCTTCGAAGTTGCTAAATGTTCTGACTATTCTGTAATTTCTGATCCCAAAGCTCTTGGCTAATTCAGTGATCTATATCCAGTATTGACTTGGAACATAAAGGCATTATTAGAAAATAAATGTAACAGTTAATCAGAGGATTGGCTAGAGGATTGTTTCTGTGGAAGTGATTCGGACTCCAGATACAGTTTGAGCTAGCTCAGTGAGCATGCTGTAAATACTAGATTTTTTCTGTGGCATCTTTTTAGCTTAGCTTGCTGAAGTGTGTAACAAACAATTTTTAAACTAAGCTGTGTGTTTGGTTGTTTGTTTTTAATAGAGATTTGCAGCAAAGCATTGCTAGGGAGCCCAGTGCTCCCTCTATTCCTCTGCCTACTTACCAGACCACATCAGCTGGAGGAAGTAAGCCTGCTGCATCGTCGACTCCTACTCCAGCACCCAGAACCATGGTGGTAAATACATGCTATGGAATTAGTGGGTTGAAAATAGAAGGCCCGTACTTTGGGACTCCAAACTGATCTGTAATTTGTGTATATCACTCCTTAATGTATTCGTGTATTTGGAAATGTGTTGAAGTGAAATAGAGGGCAAAGTCTAAAGACTTTGCAGAGAGGTGTATTATGTACTATTTGTATTCACAATTTATAGATTTGAAATGGAAAGCTTATTGCTTTTTAGATGCTTTCCATTATTACCTGTATAGAGTAAATATAGAACGTTCATTTAAAATGAAAATAAAAATCAACCAATCGTATAAAGACAGCTTTTGATCCCCAGACATCCAGAAAGAAGCTCCAACTTAATTCACTTTCTTTTGTTAGGGGACTAAACCGCAGCCACCAGCACGGCCACCACCACCAGTGATTTCTGCAGCAAGCAGTTCCTCTTCTGGATCAGCGCCCTCTGGAACAGCTGCAGCTCCGTCTCCTGCTCCTGCTCCTGCTCCTACTCCTACTCCTACTCCAGGAGCCAGCGCACCTGCGGCAAGCACTGCACCTTCACAGGCACAGGGACCTCCTTACCCAACTTATCCAGGTTACCCAGGGTAAGCTATGGGAATACTTAAGCAGTTCTTTGTTATCCCGTTATCTAAAAGCATTTGTTTGTTGCATGTGACATTTTAAAATCAGTTATTGTTATAAAGATGTGTTTAGTGTTTGAGGCAAGATTTTTTTATTTTTTTTTTTTTAAGTTTTAATCATGTAGTTCTTGGAATCATTTGCTGCTACCATTTGTTGGGGGGTCATTTTAGGTTTTGTAGTTTGGCTTTTTTAAAGGAAAAGGGAGATAGGACTAAAGTTCCTTAACTGTGGTTTGTGGACTATTGCCAGCCCTTGCATAATCAGTTGGTGGTGTTTATCTCAAAAATGTTGGCATATCTCATTTTTCAAATCTTGGTATCTTGCTAAAGATGATGAAAAATACAGAAGTTGTTCCAGTTGAGGAGTGTGCTTTCTTCTCATACTTTTTTCATCTTTCTGGAGTCATCATGAGGAATAGAAGGCAGCTGCTCTCTCCTTCAGTAGCAGGCTCAGCAAATGTTCAAATATGTACAATGATACTAAACATAAGAGAATCAATTTAGATCAGTTCTAGTTCCAGCAAGTTGCCTTCACTCCACCTTCTGCCTGCATTGCTGTTCCACACATTATAATTTTTTTCATGTTTGATCCTTGAAAGTTACCACACTTTCTGCTGCACAAAAAAGGAAAATGAAAGGAAAGCATTTGTGATGATTGCATGTCTTTTGTATCTATTAATAAGTTATTTGCAATTTAACATCAGCAAATATGCTTTCCCCCTCCACAGGTATTGCCAGATGCCAGTGCCAATGGGCTATAATCCATACATGTATGGTCAGTATAATCTGCCATATGCACCCTCACCTGTGTATCAAAACCCTGGACAAGCACCGTATCCGGCACCTCAACAACCTGGATACCCTTTTCCTCAACAGCCTTATTACCCTCAGCAATAATGTATCTGCAAAGAAGTTCTGCTTGTGAAAATTTGGGAGAAATTGGCAATAAGCATACTAAAACTTCTAGCTTCCGTTAACGTACCGTACTGAACTATATGCAGTCTATAACTCCTGTTCATTGTTAACTGCTCAAAAATGTCTAGATCAGTTCTTGATTACACTAAACACTTTGAGAGGTCTGCTGCAGTGGTTTAGACTGTAGAGTAATGCCAGAATTAAAGCCTAATTCAGTGGTCTGAAAATGTACACTACATGTTGGCTAGACCAAAATATTTCTTTGCAAAAATCCTATAAGTAACAAATGGGTTCAGATGAGAAAAATGAAGCAGTGCGTGCACTGGGTGTGATATATTCTATGGAACCATATAGCATTTCCTTCTATACGCTATTGGTTTGTATTTTTTTGAGTTTAGTTAAAATACGCTATTTTGTCTAATAATCAAGGCCTTGTAAATCATCAGTAAAAAAAATAAATTAGTTAGAATGGCTTAAACACCTGGCATTCTCATTACCGTAAAAATGTGTTTTGTGTGTCTGTATATTCTTTCATTTGTCCCTTGACTTGAATAACATAAAGATAACTTCTCAAGTGTTTAGCCTTACAACTGAATTTCTTCTATTTTCCCTTGATTCTGCATTTTTGTGACAGAATCTATAATTAACCATTTAAATCTTGGTAGATGAAGTCTTGCAGGTAAAATTTTCCTATAACTTTTAAGTGTACTGGACTAAAATGTGTTCGTTACTGTTTTAAAAGAATAGTTACTCTCATCTCCAGAATACTGCTTAAAAGAAGGGAGATCAGGGTCCCAGGACCAGTGAGTGGTTGATCTCACCTATGTTTTCCAAGGAAACGTTGATCAGAAATGTGTTATGGTTCAAGATAGGGCAACTAATGCTTGTTAGAGCTTTTCAGATTATGCTTATAAATTATTGGGTTTTTTTCCCCTTAAAAAAACTAATTTATTCCCTCAGGGAGCTTGTTATCAGTGGAGAAATACTTTTTTTGGTGGGGAAAAAAAATAATATCTTGTAAATTAAAGCACATGGAATATTTACTTTTGGATCCATCTTCTCGAGGGACTAACAACCTTGCACTATATTTTGCATTATATAACGATGAATATACATTTGTGGTTAATGGCTTCTACCAAATATTTGCTAATCATCTTTCAGTCTTTTTTTTTTTTTTAACATGCTTGTCTAATGAGGGACTCTCCATTACTTTAGCCCTTGACACAAGTTACTTGGTTCTGTGGGACAGTTAATTTCCCGAGTGCTTCATACGAGATGTTCTGGTCTTACAGAATAGCTATCACAGTACCTGTGTTAAATGTTACTGCTTTGTTTTTCTGTTTAAGTGCCTGATTAAAATATCGAGGTATATTTTAATGTAGGGGTTTAGAGGGTGTCAGTTACTGTAGCATCTGGGTGGAAACCTCACTGGATCTTGAATACTCTTCCTCATAAGGAAAGCAGAATACGTATCCATTCTTTCTGTCTCAAGTTCTTCTTGCTAGGCAATCACTCCGATTGCTTTGTGGAGACTACTTGTCTTTAGTACTCCCTGCCCCCTGTAGAAAATGCGGATCAAAAGGTAAAAATAAGCATCCCTCCTAGAACATGAGTATCTAATTCTAAACAAATTTATTAACCCTGTAGAACCACAGTGATGCTGGGGAACAGGATGAAGTAAGGGGATACAGCACTGTAGAGACAAGCGTGCGCAAGGACAGGTGCTTTGCGTTTCTCTATAAACGTTGCTGAATGGGGTGGCACAGGAACCTCTCCAGTTTTTTCCCCTGATGACAATATGCAAGAGGCAAGCGAAGACAATGAGCAAAAGCTAGGAAGATAACTGTTTGGAACCAGCAATCAGAACCTGGTTGTACTCTAACTGGAAAAACAGTAGCTTTCCACTAATTTCACTGTGTCAATGTGAGCAAGTGCAAGTCTAATGCAACCTTTTAAGTTCTTAAAGTTTCTAGTACGCTATGGGCTGTAGATTTTTCAGTTTGCGCATTAGATGCATTTGAGCTATTGTATAAGTAAGTTTGTTTCAATTGTGCCTCGATTTATAAAACTTACTTTAATGCTGTATTAAAATGTAACTCGTTCAGCATAAAGATTCCTAGAACTGAAATTTACTTTTTAAAATTTCGTAGATCTGGAACCACTGTTAGAACATATTTTTTTTTTCCCAGTTGTGTTACTGCTTGCTTTAGTCTGCTATTATTTGAATATGTATAGAAGTCTATGCATTACACTCAGTTTTCACATGACCATTTTTCTCCTTTTTTTTTTTTTTTCTAAAGAGAATGGAAAAATTCAGACACATGTATGTACCTGCTTTTAAGCATGCAGCTGTCATGACTTTGGTTGAAATGTTATCTTGTTCTTCTATAGTTTATTAAAAAAAAATCAGTTAGAAAACCCAATTTCATGGCTTTTCTCTTGAGTCTCTTGGCTTTGGACAAGTGTTACCTTAGAAAGGATGGAAATAAGTTATGGGCCCCCCAATAAGTTTGTGCTGTGGCAAAGGCACTCAGCTACTGCGTGAAACGGTAGCCTGTGTATATGCAGGTCCTTTACGGTACAGCCGCTGCTCTGTAATAACAGCTGTGTTTAAATCCTGGTAGTTGTGTTTATTTCCAAAGCTGATGGTTTTGATTATGAGAGGAGGGAAATGGTAAGGTCCTTCTGCCTTCAGAAATTGATTCAAAATTTGTTTTCATGATCTCTCCTATGAGGAATGGCTGAGGGAGCTGGGCTTGTTTAGCCTGGAGAAGAGTGAGAGGGAATCTCAAATACTTACAAATATCTTAAGGGTGGATGTCACGAGGACGGAGCCAGACTCTTCGCAGTGGTGCCCACTGAGAGGACAAGGGGCAATGGGCACAAATTGAAACTGAAGAGGTTTCAGTTGAATATGAGGAAGATCATCTTTACCTTGAGGGTGACAGAGCACTGGAACAGGCTGCCTGGGGTGTGTGGAGTCTCCTTCTCTGGAGATATTCAAAGCTTGCCTGGACGATGTCCTGTGCAACCTGCTCTGGGTGAACCTGCTTCAGCAGGGGGGTTGGACTGGATGATCTCCCGAGGTCCAGTCCAACCCCTGCCTTTCTGTGATTCTGTGAACTGGTGCTAGGCTGGGGTTCCTGTGACTCTCAGCAGCATGGATATGCCAGGCAAAGCGATTCAAGGCTTGTAGGGGCAGTTAACTTCTTCCAGCAGAGAAACAGCCCCCATGGGAACTCCAAGAAGTTGATTTTGTTTTAATTTGTTTTAAGGAAAAACCTGTATAATGCTATGCTTATTGCAGTTGCTGTATGGAGACAGAAGTTTACAATTGTGTCCTTTTGGAGACTTCCAAGTCAAGCTTTTATTTTGTCTTGCGTAAAAGCTTTCAGCGAATTTAATGAGAAAAGCAAGTCTTGGGAAGCAAACTAATTACGGATCATCAGTGAAATACCAAACTATTGCAGGGCCAGTAGTTTTTTCCTCAATTTTTTTTTCCTCCTTTTTATTGTGTTTTCAGCCCATGTGAAAAAGTGTCTTATTTCCTGACCACTAATTAGGCATTACCAGCTAATGATTGTTCTTTTAGTATTGTCCTGAACAGGATGTAGGATTCTTTTGAGTGCTTTTAGGGCTGATCTGTGGGATCCAGTCCAAATTACGCTGAAAGTAGTCCTTCGCTATTTCAAAATACCTTGAGGTCCTATTAGTTGGACCTTGATGTTCTGAAACAATGTTGCCCATTGCCACGTAGCTGAAAAACAGCAAGAAAATTCTTTGGAAAGCAAATTTTTGATTCGCATTAGCTGAGAGATGTACTTGTTTGTTACTAAAATGTGTTCAGTTCCAAAGTGACTTGCACCTTGGAACCTGTTTCACAGCACCTATTTACTCTGACAGAACATTAAGATAGACTAAGCTTGAGTGATTGTGATTTTAGGTTTTGACTGTATACTGCCGGATGAATCTACCTGAATTTTCAAGACTTCACTATGTTTAATTTAAAAGAAACTATTTTGAAAGTTCTGTCTCTTGAAAAAATGAGCTGTTACGGTGGAGCAACACTCAAAATTGCTTTGGTTTTTTGTTGTCACTTTTGACTAGCATTAGTCACCTTCTGGCTTTTTAGAATTACCACTCTTGGAAGTCGTATTTGAAGTGGTCAGTGTTTATTATTTTAAAAAGTTGACATCCTGTTTCTCATGATAGTTAAATACTACTGGATTTAAAAAATAAATAAATTTTGACTTTTTTTTCCAACTGTTTTAAGTACTTTCCATTATGCTCTTGTTCAGACTGATAGCCAAAAAATTTATACTCGGGTTGAGATTCTTCTGGTTTGAACTCAACTTTGGAACTATAATATCCTTTACTGGCAAGCATATGGTTCCTCTTAATGCCGAATGATGACTTCAGTCTCACATCTAATTTCCCAAATTGAGTGTAATAGTCCCTGATAGTAACAACTGTATCTCAGTTGTTGGATTTTTTTTTTTTTTTAAATAAAATGGAGCGATGTTTCTAAAGCCTTGGGAGAAGCTGGCCATGAATTTTATTAACTAGTTTGTAAAGAAAAACTTCCTACTATCAAGAATGAAAAGGAAGAGGCAACTGCCATTCCAAAATTGGCACCAGGTCTTCATCACAAATTACTGCTGTCAGTTCCTTCAGCTCTTCCACCTTAAATCCGTGCAGCGACTCTGCTTGGTGATGTCTGACTGCATTTACACCTCTAAGTTAAAGCGCTCCTGGGCCCTGCAGTGCTGCTCTCCGTCCCGGTGTCAGCTGCCGGAGCATTTGCCCCCCTGATCAGAGGCTGAGGTGGGTGAAGGAGTGTGTGGCTACGGGCCCTCTAAGCCTGCTGGCCTCAGCCTGTGCCTGTGGGCATGTGTCGTGCACGTCGACAGCTGCTAGCCATCTGGGTGTTAGAAATGGGTTGGACACTTGGTTTGGGCTTCCAGTGTGGACGCTGGCGAGACTGACACCAAAACCACGTTTGACCTCACATAACCTTTGACTTAGCGTAACCTTTCGCCTAGGGTGACCGCTTTCCTGTGACCTGAAGTAACCTTTGTCCTAGAGTAACTTCTGCCCTTGAGGAACCTGTGTCCTGTGACCTCAATCAACATTTGATGTCCAGGAACTGCTGTCCTCTGATATCAATTAGCCTTTGACCCCAAGTAACCTCTACCCTCTGACCTCAAGTAACTTTTGGCCTCAAGTAATCTCTGTCCATTGACTTCGAGTGAAGGCTATCTCAAGGGTCCTTTGTCCTGTGACCTTGGCTAACCTTCAGCCTCAAGTAACCTCTGTCCATTGACCTTAGGGGAAGGCGACTTCAAACATCCTTTGTCCTTTGACCTCAAGTAACCTCTGTCCTGTGACCTCAAGTAATGCTAGGCCTCAAGTAATGCTAGGCCTCAAGTAATGCTAGGCCTCAAGTAACCCCTGTCCTCTGATAAAGGCTGGACTGGTCTCACTCTGGAAATCTGCCTTAGAAAGTGACCTCTGACCTCAATAACCTTTGACCTCGAACCTCAAGTAACCTTCATCTGATGACACAACCCAGAAGGAGCTAGGTCTGGAAACCCGCCTCCCAAATTGCTGTGGAGAAGCAGCGCTGGGTGATGCAGGCGGAAGGTGCGTGGGGCAAACGGTGACCTGTGCTGCGGCGGAGCTCGAGCTCCTCCCACCCCACCCCAGGCACACACAGCTAGCAGCGGGACCCTCCTTGGCTTCAGTGTCGCCAGCGGGTTCCTCTGCGGGGGCCAAGCCCCGGGGCCAAGGTGGAGGGCAGGAGGGCTGTCACTCGCGGCGTGCCACTTTGGTTGTCCGGGCTTTACTAATGCTGACTTCCCCTGGAACGGAGCGGTTGCCTGCAACAGGAGACCGCCCTGTGCTTTGGCCAGCGCGGTGTTCACGGGTTATTGCATTTGGATGAGGTTTGCCATGTCTGCCTGTATTTCCCTGCTGGTGGGAAACTGCGGTGTCAACGT